GTAATCAGGATTTTCGGCATTATTACTTCGGGGGCCCTGAAAATCGAGATTGATCAATCAAGGGGGGGGGCCTTTTATTAATGCGAAGTAAACATTACTGGCAGTTAGTAGGGACTACGGGAATATAATCCCTACATAGTCTCTATCTACCTATCTATCTATCTATCTATCTATCTATCTATAGATACACACACATATATATGTGTATATATATATATACATATCTACTTATATATATATATACGCATATATATATATATTGCGTCAAGAATCCAATGTCCATCCTTTACATATCTCCTATGACCGACAAAAAAACACGCATCATTTATACATATAAATATATATATATATAATACTTTCCCTTTGTCCCTACTAACAGCAAGTCGATGCACTGGCGGTCAAGTTGAGCTGGGCCTCGACTCTGGCGCGGTCTCTGCTGCGGCTTCACCTGCACTTGGGGGTTAGGGTTTAGGCTCATCACAGGTCATCATGGCAAAAGATCATGCTCAAATTACGACCATTACAAATAATAGTAAGAATGATACTACTAAAATACAGACTATTACTAATGTCTATGAACTGATCACGGCCTGCCTGTAGCTCCAGCACTTGCATCGCTTGCAAAGGGCCAAAGGCTTGCCTGACAGCAGGATTAGCAACGTCTCCACACTGCTTAACAGACTTGAAGCGCAGGCGCTCACAGTGTACGTGCGCAAGGCATACAGCGACTTGGCGGCAACTTTGATTAACTAAGTGGACGGCCAGGCTCGGGAAAGCACTCGCCTGGCTCATTATGCGGAGACTCGTGCACAACAGACGCTGACTTCCAGGTGCGCTTAGTGACTGGCCTAACTGGCCAGCTAGTCTATGCTCTGGTCAGGCGATTTTCGAAGCTGACCCTGTAGTCATCTTATTGGTCCCTAGCAGGGAATAAGGGAATAGAATCCCTATATAATATATTCCCTTATTCCCTACGAACCCCAAGCCCTGTATATTCCTTTACTCCCTACTAACTCCCAGTAAGGTACTCATGTTGCCTCCTTCTGCACTTCGCCAGCCATACGGGAAGGAGCCGGCGTCTTGGCGAGGGACTCGTAGCCTGCCCCGACTGGCAGGACGACCCTTCGGGTAGTTCCCAAAATTAGGATCCCATTTGGTACCTTTCAAGGGGGATATAGGGGTTATATTGGGGTATATAGGGTTTAGGGTAGTTCCCAAAATTAGGATCCCGTTTTGGTACCTCTAGATGTGAGGCGCCGTAATATAATCGTGTCCGGAAGTGCACACTTTTAGCCAGCTCCTGCCCTATGATTTCCTTCATATGTAATTGAACGAGCACCTAGGGTTTTAGAACAGAGCCTATGTGACCTCTGGTCAGATACACGTGGGCCAACATGCGGTGAGCATGAATGGCGTCCTCACACAGAAACCCGCAAACTCGCACCTCTCTGTGCTCAGCACAGAGGCTATGGCTGAATTGCTGCTGATGGTGCCGTGCTTTACACGGGCTTGTGCGACAACACTAAGTAGTTGAAGAATGAGATCTGCTGTCCGCCTGTACGCTCATGACTTGGCTGCCAGGTTGGAATGATATTGTCCGTGCAATTCTAACTATTGCCATCGAAGTATTTCGAAGTGTGCAACTTACCACGACAAAAGGTTCACAACCATGAACAGTTGGTGTTTTGCCTGCTTCGCATCTGACAGCTAAAGTTGAGCCAAGCATGACGTTGTTGGCATGCTTGTGGCAGACTACATGGCACAAGAATGCAAGACGCTTCGGAGGGGACAGGCGCCCTGCAACTTTTCCATACGCTTTCGGAGCGATGATCATCCAGTCAAGGCTACACCACTCAAACAAGCACCAGGACTGCAGCGGAAAGAAGCTAGTTCCGGAATTCTGACGGAAATATCTGGCACACAGCTTACCCAAATGAGCTATAGTCTAAACTCCTAGTTTCCCCCTTAAGGCCCAGAATGGTAGTCCCCTATATAATCCCCTTTGTAACCCCCCCCCTATCAGGAGTATAGACGACACCTCATATATGGTCCCAGTTTCTGCTGTCGCCGCGGCACTACTAGAAGAGCTGCAAGGTCTGGCTGCATTGCTCAAGACCTCAGAGAAAAATAGTCATAGTCATAATACTAGTAATAAAATATTACAAGTACTAGTAGTAGTAGTAGTAGTAGTAGTCGTACTTGTACTGATATTCATAGTAACAGTAATAGTAGTAAGACTTCAAACAGCTCTCACTCTGGTAGAGTAAATCGGAATTTCTCAAAATGTCACCTACCTACTCCTCGACGTACGGAGCCCGCAGACCCCGATGCTGAGAAACTTTCAAAACAAATCTGAGGTTCCTGGGCGCTCCAAACAATTGCGCATACCCTTTTTTAGGTCCTTATAGCAAGAGATTCTGACATGATGTTGGGTAAGGTGGACCTTCATTTTACAAGCAAAAAAGCAGGCAACATCTGAGGTTCCTGGCACCAGCAGCTCTGGCGTTACCTGCTCGAGGTGTTCCAGGAGCAGTCCTGCTTCAGCTTACTAGTGCAAAGGGGGAGTGGAGGAGTTTAGGGGTTTAGGGTTTAGGGTTTAGGGGTTTAGGGTTTAGGGTTTAGGAGTGGGCTTACTGTGCTTATTCTTACAGAATAGGGGCATCTAAACAGCACAACAGGTTTGTTATACTACCCCTGCAAGGCTCGGCCAAAGGGCCGCCCGAGCTCTGAAACATCCGGCAGACAGAACCATCAGTTGACATTTGAAAGCCCAGATTCAAACAGATCGCTCATATTAGCTTCGTCAGCAAATGGCGCTGGCCGCCCTCCACATCTTCAAAAATCAGGGGACCCCAATATAGACCCCAAAATACTATAGTCCTTATTATAGGGACCCCCAAAAAAGGGTACCCCTAGTTTCACCAGGTATTGTCTTGGGCGCGGTATATGCGGTTCCTCCCCTCCCCCCATCCCGGTGGAGTGGCTGGGCTTGGGGGTAAGGATGATGAGGAAAGATGCCAAGAATCCTTGGAAAACTAGAACGAGTCTCCAAGGAATAGCAAAAAGGCGTTGTGCTGGAAGGAACTGTTCCAGGTACTAGGGCAAGAGTAAAGGCCTTGGAGGAATTGATTTCAGATATTATGTAGATACATTTCATTACACGAAAGGTTTTCACAGGGAAGGAGAGAAAGCCATGTGGTGACGGCTGGGGCTGGGGGGGATACCATATTTGGACGCAGAAAGCACAGCGCACAACCATATATGAGCATTGTATTGGATATTGACAGCTACGGACCAAGGATCATTCACCACGAAGGAGGGTTTACGTGCCAGCGTTCATGCTTTTTCAACTTCAGACAGGGGATAGGTTTTGAGCCTTAGTGACAGTGAGTCATCTGTTCTGGTTGTCTTCCAGCTTTCGCTCAAACATGAAAACTGGAAGATTGCCAAACGAGGTGCCCTGGCACATTCGCCTGATACAGTATGCTCACTAATGTTGATGCGGGCGGTGCTATGCAACAATTGGCGCACTTGCATAAAAATCAGGATGCGAAACCCAGCTCTCAGGACCAGCTTGCGTATCTGGCGTTGTGAGACTCCGTTTTCTCCCAAAACTCCCTGTTCCTCGCCGGAACGTGGCTGACAGCCTGCCCAAGCGCGGGATGTCTCTGCATTCGAATCATCCTCCCACGCCCGGTTTTCTTGATGAGCGTCCCAAGCAGCCTTAGACCAACTCCCTTGATCGCTGTCGCGGTCACGGCATAGCCAGGTGGAGCTGGTGCTCCAGGTGCCACTGTCTGGAGCCATTTCTTGGCCCTCAAAATCCTGGGAAGTGCGCACAGGACTTCGCCAGTCCCGCCACGCTTCCGGCCGACTCTCGCTCCTAGCTAGGACGCAGAATCTTCCGAAATGCATCTGGGTAAAGACCCAGACAGCGCCGACTGACAGCTTCAGAAAAACAGTACCTTCTCGGCTTGCTCTTTCTTCGGATACCTCGAACACCTGGCCACACTTGAGGAAGCTGACGATGTCCGATCGCTATACATTAGGCTGGCTACTGGCATCCATGCCGTGCCTCCAGCGGGTCGGCTGCGGGCTACCCCTGAGTCGGATCGTGTCGGGAACTTCCTGCACCTGCTTTACAGCTGGCTTCACCTCTAGAGCGCTCTATAGCTGCTGCACCCCACAGCCGCCGCCGCCAATGGAGCTGGTGGACTCAGAGGAACCTTCTGAGTTGGACGTGAGACCTCTGACTCAGAGGCTTCCTCTGAGTCCGTTTCCTCCCTCTCTGTCTCCATTGTGGCTTCTGCTAGCTGAGACTTGGGTCTGGCCGCAACCAGGTCTCCTTGATGACCTGCGAGACCATGTGGTGTCCATGTTGCGTCCATGGAGACCACATGATCTCGCAGCTCATTGAACATTAGCGCGACTCGCTCCGCCAGCATTGTGGCGGGAGTGCTACCGCAAAACACCTCTGGCAGACCTGTTAGCGCAAAACGCCTCGAGACACGCTCATCTGCTTTCAAGGTTCCATCTACCGACTGCAATGGTACTACTTGGTGCTACTGACTTCTTTACTATGATGACTCCAAGGTCACTGTCGCGTTGCTAAGCCAGGGACAGGGAGATTTCAGAGTATATGGTAGTTCCCCTGGATAGGAGGACCCAAATATAGCCCTGAAAATACTATGATCTACTATAATCCTTGCGATAGGGACTCTCAGATGGTACTTCTAATTTGGGGAACCCTAGACCCTATATATATATATTCCATATCCATATCCATAAAAAAAAAAATCTCCCTCTAGAACCCTATATAACCCCTATGAGAAACCCTTGTATCGCACCTGTTTGCGAAGCCCATGCATCCATTCGCTCACGCATCAAGTCGATGCGGACCTGAGAATGCTGTGCACTTAGGGTTTAGGGTTTTTCAGATGTTGCCCAGCAGATTACTTTCTGGGGTTGCAGGCAATATGGGAATATATCATATAGGGAACATATGAGCATCGGTCAAAACTCCTTACATCCGGTAATGGACGCCGGTATGG